TTTAGCATGGTGTACAGTCTGGAACGTACCCACATGCAAAATTTCAAGTTTGTTGCATGTCGGGAAGTACGCTAAACATTTTAAACAGACACACATATTCACACATTTCCCTTTAATATACAGTATATATATTTCGTCATTAACGCACAGTCAGGCAAATGCCACAAAGATCGCCCTATAAACTTAACAGACTGTAGGGGCAAGTGCTATTAGCGAGCACCTATGAAGGCCAGCACGGCACACGAGGGGGTGGGCGGCCAGCACCACGCCCGGCTGCCTTTGTCTCCCCAGTGGCGATGTTTTACATACCGCACCAGGTACTCATTTGAAGCTGAGTCGACCTAGATGAGGCACAGAACCGATGCAGATGTTGGCCTTGAGCGGGAATCAAACTCGGGTGGCTAGGTTCGTAGCGAAGTGTGTTAACCGTTGCACTGCCGATCATTAAACGCTCAGTCGGGCAAACGCAAGCACGCACGCAGACTCACACGCCCACAAGTGTATCAGATAACACTGGCTCGACACGCCGACCTGTCCAAGGCCATTCGTTATACAGTCAATTAGCGATCTTCCTGGTCGATAGCCAGCTCACCTGTACGCGGTCGCGAGACGAACACCTGTTAACAACGCCACCCTCTCTACAGGACTGCAGACTACGAAATACTGGGCACATTCAACACAAGTGTGATGACGACGATGACAGTTGAGCTGGTGATTTAAAAATGGATGTTTGGGTTAGATCGAATAGTTATGTAATAACAGTGAGAGCTATGCACCCTCCACCACCCAACACAGCCAAACAAATCAAGTTGCCAGCCGGACAAACGCGCCAATTGATATTGTTTTCCGGCAAAAACGTTGTAGTAAAAAGCAAGCGAAAATGTGACAATTATATTTACAACGCTGAGCTGGAGATTGCAGTTGTGCCCGGTGATGGTGATGACAGTGGATGTAAAGTTGTTATTGTTGATGTCTACGCACGTGGAAACCAAAGGGGATTGACCTTGATGTAGAACAGTTCGTCACAACGGTTCTGGTATACTCCAGACAAATTTATCTGACGGCACGAAAAAAAATCCAAAAAGACCTTCAACCGTAACACTCTCACACGGCGAAATTGCTATCATTCCAGACGGATGCCTCGATGAGAAGAATGCTTCATCGTAATGGCAGTCGTCGTGTGCATGCCGGTCTCGTGAAATCGTGAGACGAATATCGCTCCGTGATCTTGCAATCCTGCGTACAGGCACTCATCAACGCGAGTCAAAATCCGTGCTCGGCAGCGTGTTCTTAGAGGAAGGGGAGCAGGGCTTTGATGGATGCAGCGTCATTGCTATAAGCGAGCGCAGCTGTAACAGAGAGAGACGGCCATGCAGTGACAGCCTCCACGCAATAGGCAGGGCAGAAACCGCCAGTGCAGCTGTGCATTTGGTGCCACTTTAGATTAGCTTGCGCAAGGGGAGCAGAACATGACCGTGGTGCATTACGTAATTCTTCCGGTATAGAAAGAGACAAAGGTGCACACATTACACCACGCATGAAACGAATTCCGACCAAAGTAGTCCCCGAATAGCATCGGCCAGCCGTTTCCAAAAAAACATACTGCACTTGTGCATCTTCAATGCCTGCTGTAAACACCAAGTAACAGTACTCTTTGGTAGGGATAAAATAAAATGAATCACGACGTTTCGGGCACAACACAAGCGTCCATCATCAGGTGAGAAAGCGTGGTCTGCTGATGAGGCAGACTGTTTTAAAAGGTAACAGTGCTTCTTCAAATGCAGGGTAAATATTATACTATACTGCTGCTCCTGCGGCGTGAAGATGATAATAATGATGATGGTTTGAATTACTCAAATTTGGATTACACATATGTAGTGACATACGACGTAGGGACGTATGACGTCACTACTGTGTCTGTATGGGTGCTGTAAGCGGATGTCACGGAGGTCGTGTCAGGCCGTGACACTCTGCGTGAACCCAACAGGACACGTGACCAGACAAAGGGGGGCTGGAGGCCCTAGGGGGGAGCTTGGGGGTCACGTGGTTGGGGGCCCGGACCTTCCCGAAGGATCGAGAAGGGGGGCGTTGCCTGGGACGGAGCCGGCCACGCCACGGGAGTTTTCAGCGGGGTGTGAACAGAGAGCTGGGCTGTTCAACCCCGGGATGAAGACGCCATCAGCGGTCCTCGAGTGTCCGATCGTCGTCCGTGACCAGGCAGCCCGTCACCTGCCCTGGTCACGCTGTGTAATACTCCCCGAGTGTTAGTGAGATTAGGAACGGTGGTCACCACCCTGTATATAATGTCCACGTTGGTTGCTATGCGTTAATAGTGTTGCCTCCAAGTTGAGTGTGCGCTTCAATTGAGCCCACTAGACATAGAAAATGATCGGCCCCTACCGGCGAACTACTGTGCCTGCTAGCAGGTCAGCTGCCGAGTCAGCTGCCGTAAAAAAATGTTTGAGATGAGATGTGACGGAAGTTGCTTATAGCGAGTAAATCGCTCTGAGATACTCCCACTTCTGGAGCACCGCCCAAACAAAATCATTATCATTTCTGTCATCGTCTATGTATGTTAAACTTCTTTCGCACCGTACATAGCTAACCGTCCTAATCGGAGGTGTGGCGGAAGGACAACAAACGAAACACTAAAATCAGTCTTCAATCTATGGCTATTTTATTTTACCAGGTAAGGCCCACTAAGTTATAATGTGGAAATTTATAGCAGCCAAATACCCTCAACGCATGTTTATAAATGTGGAGGGAGAACCTAGAGGACCTGGAGAAACATCTATGCGACCACAGGGAGAACATGTGAACTCCAAATATATTGACGTCAGGATCAGGATGACACCCACGACCTCCTGTATACCAGGCGAGGGAGTTAACTGAGAGCGTTCCAGACGGCCGCAGAAGCGCATCTGAAAGTGTGCGATGCGGTGACCGTCTTTGTCCGATCGCGAGCCAAAAGCCGCTGCTGTGAGGATGACCGGAGTTTGCGTGATGGTTTATGCTCCTTGACGAGATCAGCAAGGCATTGTGGTTCACTTGTGGCAAGCACTTTGTGTGTAATGAGTGCGACCGGAGGGAAATTATCCTTCTGTCTCCCCTCACTCTCTCCCACCTGGACATTTGGGGGAGGGGGCGGGGGTTGCAGACAGGGAAAGTTGAACAGGGAAATAGTTTCAGAGCAGTCCGAACCTATTGAGCCCTGGTACATGCCAGCAATAATTGGAAAATAAGGATAATTAATCTGTCAGCAGAAGCGGAGTTTCTCCGACAATTATCGCGATTCCTACTGCTTTGACCATTTCTGTCGAAAAGCAGTGGGTGAAATGTTTTCTGGTAGCACTTTCGCACACAACCAACACTCACAGCAATTAAATACATTAGCAATCGTGCTGACAAAAGCAAGAAATCACTTCAAATCAACGATGCCTCGCAACGCTTGCTGCTGCTAACTACAATGTGGGTTGTGTAATTACGTACTGATTCCGACACATCGCCACACCTCGGCACAATGTGAAATAAAGATTCCTAAAACATCTTGGCTTGTGTTTTGATTGTGTTCATGATGCTGAACAACGCAACAAAATAAGCATGATGTGTACAGACAAAACACTTCAAAAAGTAAGATTAAAATAACAAAAATTCCACTGGAGACATGTACTTATTGAATTAACATACAGTTCGGAAACACTATACAATCGTACATATGAGCAATAACTGTTGTTAACCACGGGTATTTATTTTATGTTCAAATGAAATGTTCAAATGCAAAATAAATACCACCGAAGAGGCCACTAGTAAGTGCAGTAGCACATTGTGCTGATATAACTACGCAAAGATAAAATTACCATCAGGTTATAAAAGTGTAATCAATGTAATACGGTGCTCTGAGATCCACTGCTTAAGGGTGCCTTATGAATGTATACCAATATATAACGTATCATGGGGCCTTTTTCAGGTCACAAGGGAGGCTCTCTGGTGTAGGCCAATAACGTATCATGGGGCCTTTTTCAGGTCACAAGGGAGGCTATCTCTGGTGTAGGCCAATCCGTTTCAAAGGCAATGTATACATTAATGATATTTATCAGAGCATGTTCGTTTGCATGTTCACCACAAGTATGTGTAGTTAATTTAGACTTGATTCCTTGCAAGAGGTTTCTATTTGGTGTTTGAACATGTTAACATCTGTTTTATTGGAAGAAAGGGTAAAAATATTTTGTTTCAATATAACGTCATTATTTTTTTAGGAACACCTCACCGAGTCTCAAGACTTCTTCTCAAGAGAGTCCTGCTTTTAGGATGTTTGGCAAATTCCCTTTATACGGGTACTTTCAAACAAAACGTGCCATTAAGTGACTATGTCAGTGTGTTGGAGAGTAAATCCACAGTTAATATTATCGGGTGGTGGCGGGTTGAATGACACATTCATATTTACGCGATCTTAACCCAAAATAAAACTTTATTATGGATAACATTGGTCGCGAATGTCAACATATTGAAGGGTCCTGCACCGTGACAACGCGTGTTGTACCTTGATAACGGTGCAGCTGCTAAAGGAAATTAGCAAAGCATGCCCCCGCTACTGCCATTCTCGGCCTAGGTCAATTTGTGACGGAGCCAAAGTGGCCATGTTTTATTTGAATATCAAAAGTGCCCATACGAATATGCGAGTCTGCATTGCAACAGAATTTAAGTCTCAACGGTTCATTCAATGACACGGACTCTGGTCGACGCACGTAAGTTAAACAGATATGCAGAAAAAGCAGCGGAGAACAGGTTGAGCGCGCACACCGTGACAGCAACATATTATCCTGTGCGCTTGTACGGACATAGACGGCGGGGGCATATACTGATGATTTAAAAAAAAAACTCATTTACGAATCAAGATGTTCAAATACAATAACATGTTTTTTTTTAAATCACTTATTACAGAATATGGCCCACGTGCATTTGCTTGATGGGTTGCAAATGCACGGGCCACATCACATTACCTTTGAGCTGCATTCTTGTGCTTCCTCCTGCGAATAAACCAGACAAGGTGTCACATATGCACAACATTTTATCCATTAATACCATACACACGGTTTGCTATCTTTGATCAAAAACGCCTCACTGAGTCTCAGGACTTCAAACTACGAAGGCCTCGCACAATGATGTTTGGCAAATGTAGTCTTATTATTTTTTTGCATGGGATTAAAAAAAAGCCATTATATACACTCGAAGATCTGCACAGATCAGCCGAAGAGCCAATACGCCTTCCTGCTATATCCTGTCAAATTTGTATCCCTGCACAAGTCTAAGGCACGTTTTGGTGGATTCCTTCACCCTACCTCAAAAGTGCTGAAGTACTGTTATAGGCATTGCGCACAAAAACACTGTGTACATTCAGTATGCTTGCATGCATGCACGTAGCATTGCCGCGCGTCAGAGTGTGTTTGTGTGAGCAAGGGCTCACATGCGGACCCGGCAAGCGTGCGTATGCGTGCATGTGCCCCAACAGTTGGTTAAGCTACATGGTGGATATTTTTGCAGCGATTAGCATGTCACACTACGAACCCGGCGACCCGGGTTCGTTTCTCGCTCATGGCTACCAACACCAGTGACGATCATCTGAACCAGTCCTGGGCCTCCCCTTGGTCGACTCAGCAGTGTGTAAATATCGCTATTTGGGAGATAAAGGCAGCCGGGCATTGTTTTTGGCCACCCACCTCCCCGTGTGCCGTGCTAGCCTTCATAAGTGCTCGTTAACAGCACTTGCCCCAACAGTCTGTTAAGGCTATACGGGGTCACATTGTCGATGGTGTACGTGTGTGTATGTTTGTGCGAATGTGTGCGTGGGTGGTGTGTATGTGTGTGTTTGGAGGGTGCAGTGTGTGTGATGATGTGTGATGTGTGTTTTGTATGTGAGTGGGGATGCATTTGTAATGAGTCTGTGTGTTGTGTGCATATTGCTATGGATGTGTGTAATATACATGTGTTGCGTGCGTGTGTGTAATGTGTGTTGTGTGCGTGTGTCGTGGAGAGTGGTGATGTTAGCGCACTACGGTAAAGTCACGTAGATAGAAAAATAATAATAAAAAAATTAAGTGAATAAAACTAAAATAAAAATAATAAAAACCAAAAACCGCTAATCTAGTCTGTAGCCTAGTTCTTAATCGGAGTGAGTGTACGGGCAATCTATAATGTAGACTGTAGCCTGGTTATTACGTTTGGTGAGTACTGGCAGTCTATAATTTAGACTGTAGCCTGGTTCTTAACCTCGGTGAGTGTACTGGCAGTATATAATGTATACTGTAGCCTGGTTTTTAAGCTGGTGAGCGTATTGGCAGTCTATAATGTAGACTGCAGCAATGGTTATTAAACTGAGTGTTCTTAACCTGAGTGAGCGCACTGGCAGTCTATAATGTAGACTTATTCTGGTTCTTTCAGTAATGAAAAAAGAATAACAATAAAAACAAAAAACCACGACGTTTCGATCACAACACAAGCGGTCGTCATCAGGAAAAGCGGGGTTAGCCTCTAAAGACAAACTGTTTATAAAGGTCTAGAGATGGGCGTAGCCTAAGCGTGTCAGCAGCATGGGCGGGGCAGCTAATGCTAGTGTAGGGGAAAACCCCGACACCGGCAGTAGGTCTACACCAATCAAAGGGCCGCTAGAAAATCAATTGCGGCTCGCACCACACACCCAAACTGCTGACGGTGGAGGTTGACAAGAAAACACAAATCAAGTCATGACCCAAAGTGGTTGATGACATCTTTGCAATGATTGCTGAGCTAATAACCATCCTCTCGGTTGAAATTGTGTCTGTATATATGGATGGCTTCATGAACGAATCTTTGTTGATAGGAAGTAGGCTTGCATAGTAGATTGCTAAATTTGAGAGAGAGACAAAATTACACTAAAATTTAGCAATCTTTGGAAGAACGTAATCAACCAGGTAGGGTGTTGATTGTTGTGTTAGCCAACTCACCGTGTTGTATTGCATTATATTTCTAAGTTTACTAGATTTGCTTTCTCTTTCATTTGTACCTGATGATGATTGCTTGTGTTGCAATCGAAACGTCGTATGCTATTATTTAATGTATTATTTTCTCTTTCTACGTGACTTTACCGAAAGAACCAAAGAGTAAATCATGCAGTCACGAAAGCTCCAAATCAGGTTTATATGGAGGATTTTTTGCCTTGAAATCAATTTGTAGTGTGGTAATGAATGTGGTGTGACAAAGTAAATCAGTTGCGATGAATAAATACTAATGATAACGCATTATTTGTGCCCGTACAGTGTTTATTCACCCTTAAAAGAGAGAGTGAAAAAGAAAGGACTCGCAGCAAGGCAGTCAGAACCGGCACTAACAATTGCTCAAGCTCTACGGTCCTACATTGGGATGCGTGGCTAACTCCAAAAGATGATCGAACGGACAAAAATGGAGCAAGTCAACCGGTGCGTATTCGCCGTTTGAACTGGCATCGTTCAATGCCAGTGCTGCATTGCGGTGCTGGGTGAGGCTGGGCTGTCTCTGGCACAAGGGCGGTGGCAGGGGTGGCGCCAGTGCACGTCTGACGTGTGGGCGACATCTCAAGACCAAAGGAAAAGCGCACATCGGAGGGGACATTTAAGGAGACTGATGGGTTTTTCTAATTGGACGGGCCGCAAACGATAGCTCAACAAAGCGGCCTGTAATCATGTGGACATTTATAGTAGACAAATACTCGAATCGCTTGTTTATGAATGAGGACCAAGGAAGAACATGAAAACTCCAAATATACACGCGTCAGGGTCGGGACTGAACCCACGACCTCCTGTACACTAGGCGAGGTAGTTAACATCTGGCCACCGTGACACCCATTCACGCCACCGTGTAGAAAAGCAAGTTGGTTTGTAAACATATCTGTGCGGATCATAGCATTTCATATCGTCATACACGTGGTAAATTGATAAAATAGATGCGTGAGAATGAATTAGTCGTTCCTTTTCAAATAAATGAAGTTATAAAAATGACTCCTGTTATCATTTAATTTATTTACACTGAGCTATTGGGGGCAGCATAGGGCAGTGTTGCAATTTCCATTGTTGTACAGTATTTATATGCTCCCGCACCTATAGCTCCCCGACTTTACAACCCGCACTGGCCAACGTGAAGTTACCAAATAACCTCCGTGGACCTTCACTGTGCGAGGAGGCCCTAATCCAGCAGTGGATTGGCAAACGTGTTTACTGTACACGTACGCTATTACATCATTACTGCAAAACGCATTAGTCTCCGTCGACTGGCAATAACCAAAAATGCACCACCCCGTGATGTCACCTTGCTTCGTTAACATCACGGAGTCTGTGGGTCTTCATGTGCAGCGAGGTGCACATACACACGTACACACGGTGAATATCTTACCGTTCCGCTTAAGTTTCATATTCAACTGCGAAAACTTAGATCTACTGATTCTGGTCTGCTCATTATTCCAGAGAGCAGACTTTGTTCTCTGGGAGACAGAGGATTTTGCGGTCAGGCTCCGCGGTTGTGGAATTCCTTTCCTCCTTAGTTCACCAGGGAATCTGAGTCTGTTACACTTTTTAAATCGCGTCTTAAAACGGGCTTTCTCCATAACGTAAGCTTTATTGAAAAGTGCTTCAGAGGCTTTGTGTGAATTTGCGCTGTAGAAAACTGAGTTTCTTCTTCTTATTACTGCGCAATGTGAACACACAGACACTATAACCAATGCCCGCTTGGATCCTGGTTCATGCGTGATTCCTCCACGGTGGCCCCTACGCCGCCTGTTTAACACCACGGTGGTTGTGAAACATCTCGGTGTCTTTCTGACCCTCACCTCCCCATTAAAACGCGATAGAGGGTGATTACAGCAGCGTGGCCTTCCTACGCATGCACTGTCGCCAGTTTTCGACAAACGAATGAGTAATTGGGCAGAGGAGGAATGGCTGTGGTGTGGCTGAAAACGTACACATACTAAGTATAAATCGCATTGGTTTGGGGTTTGGATCCCCGCTGCACAAGAATAACATTTGATGTCAACCTGTATTTTAAAAAGATGCATTCCCCGTTTTTAATTAAATATTTCATTTGTGGCTATGCAATTTCATGAATATAACAGCTGTTCGCTGTACCCTGTTTCAACGTTAAAATGTACCTCCCTGGAAATAAAGTTGTATTGATTTAAATATAACTTGATTAAAACGACTAATACTAAATTAGTGCTTACGGTAAATGTGTGTTCATACTGTTTGGTTCAGGGTTGCGATTTCCGCATGGAAAATGCGGAAGGAGGGTTCAAATTTTCCCGCATTTTTGCTAAAGTCAACCGCAAACGGTGGAAAGACTACTCCTATGACCGCGCGCTTTTAACAACACGTTAATGCGTTCTATTGGAAAGGATACATGCAAGGCCCAGCATCACGTAGGGCTTTGAGTTACTGATTGGAATGAATATATGATTTCCGCATTTCCGCACAAGAACCACATACTTTATTCAAATGCGGAGCCGTGATTACGAGCACATGTACTTTCACTTCTTCGCATTCTTCCAGCGCTTCATGTCGTCTTCGGCGTGAAAGATGCTGAGTTTTGGCTTGTCGCGGGCGCAAACTATAAGCGCGTTCAACTGCTTGCACGAGAGGAGCAACCACTCCTCGGGCTTGATGTTGTTTTGCAGAGAGAAAGCCCTCTCACAGCCGACCGACCTGTGCGCCAAAGTTTTAATCGTTAGCAGTAAAGTGTATATATTCGCAGGAGGTATAAAGTAGCTACGACAGAGGCAAATGAGCGTACGCTGGACGAGGATATTACCTGAGTGGAAACGCGTGTGTATCTGAGCGTATCGAAAACAGCGTGGGTATCTGAGCGCTTGGCCAAAATTACCAGTGGATTTCCCAACGCGCTGCAATCTGAGCGACGATGAATAGTTTTGCATATCGACAGAATATGAATAAAGAAAATGCTACAGTTTTTTGTTTTTCCTTTGTCGCTACGAGTACTGCGAGGGCTCCGAATGGCAGACGCTAGGAGA